GAAGGTCTGCGTTTTACAGATGGTAATAAATTCACTCAGCGTTTGCACTAGCATTCCACATCGTCTGTAAGATCTGGTGTCGCAGATGCAGAGTAGCTGAAGCGTACTGTTCATGAAGATACTGTTGATGAAGATCCTAGTTCGTGTTTTCGGCATTGATTTTTTAGCTGCCTTAGCTGTGAAGTCAAATGGATATGAATTTCTAGAGACCTTTAAGATATGATTCTTAGTTTTGCTGACAGAAGTACTAAATATGGGTCTTCAGAGACTTCAGAGTTCTCCTGGGCCACGCTTGCCACAAAGTAGGATCCCCTATGCTTTTTTGTGACTAGTTGAGACAGACACAAAGAAAGGTGAAGGAGAGGAGGAGAGTGAAATAAGGTATAAGCCTCCTCTCGCTTCCTGCTTGACCACTGGCACCTCACAGCTTCTCAGCGCTGCGTGATGCCGCCTTCTTTCACCTTATTAGTTGTGTGTGCTAGATGCAAGAAGCTAGAGAGATGCTCTACTGTTCTACAGTCCTTTAGAGGTATATGCTATTTTGCTATTGAAATAAATGCAGAATGACATCAGACCAGGACATACATGTTGACCCCTGATTAACTTTTTTCTATTACTTTACTAGCGCATCTGTAAAATTGTCTTAGAAGCTGCATGACTACGTCAGCACGAGACATGGCAGAACTTGTATTTAAATTTGAATAAAATTAATCTGAGGATAAAAATTATGCTTGTCTGAACTGAAATGTGAAAACAGCATAAATCTGAATGGCAGTTTTGTATGCTTTCTTATGAATGAGACACGGTTTTGCAGTTACTCCTTAACTTGGTTAAATTCACGGCAATTAATTTTGGTTGTTGGAACAATTTTTCTGGTTTGTTGTCTTCCTTTTGGTTGCTATAAGATGACTGTCTTCCCTTCTTTTGTAGTCTTGGTGGAAAAATATAAAATGATTGCTTGTTTAAAAAGTAAGTCTTTTCTGCAGTTGTAGGTGGATATTTTGATTTCAAGTGAAGTTGATACTTCAGCTACCTGCCTCAAGCCCAGAGGCCTGCCTCGCCTCCTGTATACTGAAATGTAGTTCTGGGACATACTTACAGAAGTTAAGAACTTGTCAATTTTACTACAGTAATGAAAACATCTTTATGGGAAAAATAAGGAGATATTTCAAGGACAGTTTTAAAATACTTTTGACAACTGAGATGTATTTGTGCCACAGTTCCTGTTTGATTGATAGGAAAAAGATTTACTCAAAGATTTAATTACAGGATATTGAAATCTAAGTTCTCATAGATGCTATTAAATATTTCGATTTAATGTTTCCTTCTAACAAATTGTTCTGAATATATTGAGGTTCTTTTCTTTTGCTTCTGTTTTGGAAGGACTTGGCAAATTGCATTAAAAGAAGTTGAAAACTTTGTGCCACCAATGAATAGTTTCAGAAATTGCGAGATACCTTCTTTATAGTGCAAAGGGATTTCTATTGGACACGTCTAAAATTTAAGAGACCAACAAGGCTGTGAGGAAGCTGGCTTGATAAATGCATAAGGGTTTAGTGGAAACAAATGTATCTTTAGTGCACCCAGGAGAAATTATGGGGGTTTTTTGTTGCACCCTTGTGATCGTTTCGGTACGGATAGGACTTTGTCTCTCCAACTGCCTGCAGACTTCCATTGCTAAAGACCCTGTTGTAATTGTTCATGGTCTAGAATCTTAAAATCTAACCACAGATAACTTGCACATATGGATAAAGTGATATTTAGCCCTCTGTTTTTGTAAGGTATCCTTAAATAAAATGCTGATAGATTATTTTCCCTCCTTTTATATGATGTTTATACTTGATGGTTGACAGAATCAGTTTCAATTAATAAACAGGTTCTTGTTACAAAAATATTATTTTCCTTTGATATCCTCAGAAGGAGCTGACATGAATTAAATATCATAGAACATGCTGAAAATTAAGACTTTTGAGTAGCCAAAGTATGAAAACATCTTGGGTTTAATGCAAACATATTTAGCATTCTTACTGTGACTTTGGTTTTGAGGGTCTTCTCTCCTTCTCTCCAAATTTTTTTATGCCAGAAGCTTACTTTTCTTATAACTAAAATACAGATGAGTCTTTCACTCTTCAAAATATGTGGATTCTATGTATTTTGGTCTGTGATTTCCCATTTTAATACTATAGAAGTTTATCTAAACTGCACAGTATTCAGGCTCTTTTCACTGAGGCCACCGCATAGAATCATAGAATGGTTTGGGTTGGAAGGAACCTTAAATGTCATCTAGTTCCAACCCATCTGCCATGAGCAGGGACACCTTCCACTAGATCAGATTGCTCAAAGCCTTATCCAACCTGACCTTCAACACTTCCAGGGATGGGACAGCCAGTTTATCTAAACTGCACAGTATTCAGGCTCTTTTCACTGAGGCCACCGCATAGAATCATAGAATGGTTTGGGTTGGAAGGAACCTTAAATGTCATCTAGTTCCAACCCATCTGCCATGAGCAGGGACCCCTTCCACTAGATCAGATTGCTCAAAGCCTTATCCAACCTGACCTTCAACACTTCCAGGGATGGGACAGCCACTTCTCTGGGTGACCTGTTCCAGTGTTTCACCATGCTCAAAGTGAAGAATTTCTTCCTTATAGCTAATCTAAATCTACCCACTTTCAAAATCTACCCTCTTTCACTTTAAAGCCATTGCCCCTTGTCCTGTTACTACACTTCCTTGCAAAAGTCTCTCTCCGTCTTTCTCGTAGGCTCTCTTTAGGTGCTGGAAGGCTGCTAGAAGGTCTCCCCAGAGCCTTCTCCAGGCTGAACAACCCTAACTCTCTCAGCCTGTCTTCATAGGAGAGGTGCTCCAGCCCTCGGATCATCTTTGTGGCCCTCATCTCGCCTGTTTCAACAGCTCCATGTCCTTCTTTATGTTGATGTCCCCAGAGCTGAACACAGTATTTCAGATGGGGTCTCACAAGACCAGAGTAGAGGAGCAGAATCACCTCCCTCGACCTGCTGGCCACGCTTCTTTTGATGCAGCCCAGGATACGGTTGGCTTTCTGGGCTGCAAGCGCACATGGCCGGCTCATGTTGAGCTTCTCATCAACCAGCAACACCCCTAAGTCCTTCTCCTCAGGGCTGCTCTCAATTCATTCCCCACCCGGCCTGTATTTGTGCTTGGGATTGCCCCGACCCACGTGCAGGACCTTGCACTTGGCCTTGTTGAACCTTGTTAGGTTCATATTTGTAAATATTCTTTCCCTTTCTTCACGCACTACATATTTTTGCTCAAAGGTTGGATTTGTTACTTCAGGTGATTCTTTAAAGCTTGCTTTTTTCCGTATTTTTCTTTTCGCTCTCTTTGGGGAGAAAATGACTGACAACAGCTGTTCCTATTTTATCTGTTAAGAGAATCTCACATTTTGAATAACACTGTTGATGCGTGAGGTTTATTATGCACTCATAACTTCCAGTGGGTAAGTTTTAAATAAGGTAGTTTTGATTCAGCAGAGATTTGGGGAATGTATGTGTGCCTTTGGGTGAGAAAGGAGGGCAAAAATAGGCAAACTGTCCATGGAAATAATAATGAATGTAGTGCTCAAAGGAGCAAAAAGTGGGAATCTTTGAATTCTTGCTGGTAGTTCAGAAAAGAAGATTCTACCTAGTACTTTAATAGCAGAGAGAGTTTATTTTCTAGAATTCTTTATCAACTCAACAGAGGAACGAAACTGTACTCTTAGAGTACAGTTTTAGTTCCAGAAAGGACTGTTTTTTGTGCAGACTGTGTTCTTCGAAGTGCAATTAAAACCTTTTCGCTAATCATCTGGCTCCATAATTTCTCTTGCATGTCTTCCTATCCTTGCTACCTTTCTGCCAGAGTTCCCAAAACTGCAAAGACACAAGCAGTGTAGCTAAAGGCATGAAGTGTAAAATGGGAAGTTAACATCAGCAAACGTTGCATTTGTCTTTGTCGAGATGGTATGTGTGCCACCCTCTTACTTCTGCAATGATGTGTTAGGACTGTTCTGAGGAGAGGAACTTGGGGATAGTTTGGTTCCTTAGATCCGAGCTAAAATAGTGGGTTTCAGGAAACTTCATGCCTTTCCTGAATAAAGGTGGAGAACTGGCATAGTACAATGGTGAGATACACCAGTTTTAGACTATAATTTTTGTGACTGTAGTCCTAAGGCACAAATTTTCAGTTCAGTTATAAGATACTCCACATGAGTAAGTGCGCTAGTGCTGTAAAAACGATACAGCACTTAGCTGTTTGCTGTCTCATGAAGCTGTGGTCACACTCAAGAGAGGAGAAGTTTGTGTTGTGGGCAGCATGTTGGATGTAGAGTCAGCAGGATGGAATTAGATTGCCAGGCTTTCTATTTGGTTGTTAGTAATGTAACCTAGTAAGCAACCTAAAATCCAGGAATATAAAGATATCAAGGCTAAGATCCAGTAATGAATATGGGATGTTCAGTTATTTTCATCCAGAAAGCCATGTAAGTATGTAGGAAAGTAAGAGTTTAAGCAACCGGTTTCACTTCACAGACCAGTGGTTTTAATCTGATGAGAATGAGCAGATAAAGAAAATGAATGAAAAGGTGAAAGTAGAAAAGGGCAAAGAAAAAGTAGTTTGTATGCAGAATGGTACTGCTTCTCACAGATAAAAGGTTATTTTTGATAGAGTGTGTGGTCTGATGCTTGAGCAGTTTCTTTCAAGGAATTTATCCCGGGAGCCCTTTGCATGCTAAAGGACAGGCTGGGGTTTTGTGTCCAAATAACCTTATATGATAGATGTGATGGATGCTTATTCTTTTCATAGGGAACAAATGCATAAAGGATTCAATGTTACATTTTGAGTTGTGTTATTTGTGGCACTAATGGCTTTGCAGTTTTTCAAAGCAGCTGCTGTATATCTTTATAGTTCCCAGAATCCTATTGCTGATAAAATTTATCAGAGTCTGTTTGATTGTTTTAGAGGCGTATTCGATGCATCCCTCAAAATGGCTGGGTTCTATGGACTCTACACTTGGCTGACTCACACTATATTTGGGATTAACATAGTCTTCATACCATCTGGTAAGAATTTGAACAATTCTAATCTATTTATGGATAATATTACATAATTATTTCTTGTACAAGCTCAGTAGGATTAAATGTTACTGGTAAGATTGGTCTTGAAGGTTTTTTTAGAGAACATTAAATCAGAAGCTGGCAACTAGCATAATTAGAGTTGCACAAGCAACTTTAATGTGGTTGATTTGTACAAATGTCATAAGACAGTTTCTAACTACGGGGTTGGCTACTTTTTTTATAGTAACACCTGAGTCTATTGATGAACTCAGTATATGGTATGAACTTAATGAGTAGCTGTTCAGAATTTTTTTCTTTATTCCCTGTTCAATATGTAACTTCATTTTTATTTCCTGTTTATTGTTCAAACCTCAATAGGAAAATACTGGGACAAGTTCCAATACTTTTATGATACACATCGTGGTTCCAAAGAACTTCTTAGCATTGATGGATTCTTCCAAGTTTAATTTAAGCTATCATAGATCTAATTATTCTATGAAAACTATACAGCTTTTCATAGCTCTTATTTCAAAATCTTTAGTTCCAACTGTGAATGATATGTAGCACTGCTGAAAACTGATTGCAGGACTGTTTCAAAGTCATGGGTAGGGTGGAGAGAAGTCCCTGATTGCATTCTTACCTCTGAGCCTTGCTTTTTTCTGTTTTCACAATACATCCCCTGCCAGCTATTTTACTTCTCCTGTCTGTTTCTTTTGCTGGATGTAATTCTTTCACCTTTCTATCCAGTCCAAGTTTTTCCAGCTTTTAACTTAGTTTTGCCTTCCTTGGCTTTTATTTTTCACGTAGTTGACAAGTGCTGAGTTTTCAAGATGCCTAAATGCAGGAAGTTGTGGTGTCATGAAAGTGCATGATAGAGGTGTTCTTTTTCTCAGTACTGTTGCCTGACTCTATTACCAGCCTTTTTTTTTTTTTTTTGGTCGTTCTTTAATCTTAGCTTTGGAAGTGGCTGAACAGTTTTCACTGAAAAAATCGTCTTCCCGTTACTCTTTTGTCTATCCTAAAAATAATAATAATAATCATTTAAAAAATGTTGTACCTTCATGTACAAGGGAAGAAAAAGGAAAGCTATGAAGCAACAAAACCCAATATAACAGGAAATGGCTGTATTATAAAGTGCAACTACCTTAAAGGCATTGATTGTCATTAGACCTACTTAGAAGATAATTGTTCTTTTTCTTTCAGCTACATGCAAAATTTTAAAATTTTTTGCTTTCTGGTTAATGAGACCAAAAAAGAGAAAAATTTTGTGTTCATTCCTGTTGCATTAAATTGGAATGACAGCAGTACTGCATCACTTTAGATTACAGCAGGTGTTTGTATAATCAGAAGGGTGTACGCATGTGTGTACACATGTGTATACAGAAATACATATGTCATCGATTTTGTATTTGCCTGGTTTCTCGTGGTATTACCTTCATTATTATGGTTGACTGCAGGAGATCCAGTAAGTTACAAGGAGTGGTTTGCTTGGGTACTTTCTTGCACACAGTTGCTAATTTGTAGTCATGTGAAAGTTTGAAATGTGGGTGATTGTATAACTTTCAAATTTTTCTGACTTGGTGCCTCTTTGGAAGTAACTCCTCATTACTGTCAGTTGGTGAAGCTTTTCTGTATGGGGAATAGTGTAATTTTATTTTTTTCCTAAACCACAGCTATAAAACACCAAGAGCCTTATGTGACACTTCTTCAGTGTCTCATTTACAACAGTTGATAGAAGTGGGACTGCCAGTGTGGCAAAAGTGTCAGAATTTAACTGTAAATATGTTTGTGAAATATATTCCTCTGGTCTTTTTCTCACCTCTGCTTCTGTGTGCTCTAGCATTAGCAGCAATCCTTGGAGCAGTGCCGTTTCTGGGGACATACTGGGCAGCCATCCCTGCCGTCCTAGATTTGTGGCTTGTGCAAGGACAGGGCTGCAAAGCCATTTTGCTCTTGGTTTTTCACCTCTTGCCAACCTATTTTGTAGATACAGCAATTTATTCAGATATATCAGGGTAAGTACATTGAAGACTTCTTAAAATTAGTATTGTAAAAATGGTTAATGATCATCGATGCCTTTAATCAAATTAGCTTTTCTGAAGCATGCAGAACAGTATCTTCAAGCGTAGGAATAGGTATAGCGATATCACCTCATAGTAAGAAGTCTTACTGGCCTAAGTGCCTTTACTTTCCCAGGCGTCTTTTCTGTGTGCTTTGTCACTTAAGAGGTCTTGAACTTGTTCTCCAAGTCAGCAAAATCAACTGTTTCAGTTGGTAAAGTAATTCTAAGAACACTTTGCTATTTATCTAATCATGACTAAAGATGTGAAGCAATTTCCTTTGCATCATCTAATGCCAAATGACACTGCAGAACAAATGAGAAATCGAAGAGCTAGTTAGGGACCTGAAAAAAACCTTCAGTTTTTCAGAATGGATTGTGAGAATTTTGAGGGTTTTTTTGAAGCCAGCCTTTGTGTTGTGTCACCATACCCCAGTGTAAAAATCTAATGATTATGTATTGATCTTTAAATGTGTTGAGACAGATGAAATTGCAAAACTGGAGATAGGCTCCTACTGAGACAGTAGCCAGCACTGGTTTTCTGTTGTGGGAGGCAAGCAGAGATTTCTTGAAAAATCTCGCTAGATATTTGGCTGCCTCTATTGACTTGGAATGTCTCCTGGTTTCAGCTTTGAGCTTGTACACAGAGAAACAAACTCCAAACTATGGAGACAAAGTCAATGTCTGCAGATGTGTCTGAAGTACAACTGAAGTGGCTGCTGATATTTTCTGCTGCTGAAATACCTAGAGATTCCCTTTATTGCAATTCAGATCAGAAGATAAAGCGGTGGTGTTTAACAGAGCTGGCAAAGAGACAAACTTCAAATTTCGTACGTGCAAGACATGCTCACGACCGTGTAAAAGATAGATGTAAAGTTGTACTCCTCTAGTCACTGCTTCAATCTCGATCATCAGAAACAATCCTAGTAAACTGTTTGAATAGAGAACTTTGTGGCCCAGACTTAGTTATATGCTGGTACTAGTCCCTCATTTGTGCTGATTTTTGTTATAGTGGAGTTAATGTAGAATAAGAACATGAAGTGTTTTGGTTCTGTGTTAAGTTTGAAATTAATATTTTTGTTCACCAAATACAATTACACCGAACAGAGAGAACCTAATGATAATGTGCCCAATATTAATAACAATTTTCATAGACTGCGGCACTACCTATTTTACATGAATTAAAGCTAACAGATGAAGTATAATCAAATCACGATTTTTTTTCCCAACAATAAATTGTGGATAAATTTAAGGCTAGTAGCTATTTAACCAGACAATAATACTTCTACTTATTAGAATACATCTTTTGGCTGTAGGGGATGCAGGCTCTGTTTACTGTCCAGAAAATATATGTGTCAGGTATAGATTTTCTGACAATGGAGCGAAATTGTATTCTTCCCATTAAATAGAACAGTAAGCATCATGCTGTCCTGAAGATTAGATTAAATCTATTTGAAATAGCTATAATTAGGTTTTCCAAATGCATTAAATTTGTACTGTAGTTCTGTTTCAACAGGTGATCTGTTGTTTAATTTAGCAAACTAGCCAGAACAATGTCTAAACTGATGCAAATGCAGGAAGAAAATGATTTGAAATATTTTTAAAGCTTTAGAAATTACTTATGTGTCTACTGTTGGAGAAACATAAAGCTTTAAGGTTGAGTCTATCCCCTGAAAAAACTATCTGGCCCTACCAGTAGGATAAATTTGATTTAGGTAAGACATGATTGAGGTGTGTATGATGTAATACGGTCATGTTTCATGACCTCATTCCGCACACAGTTGTGATGAAGGCAAAAACTGCCAATATGGGAGTTGGGCAAAAGTCAGAACTGTGGTAGGAACCTGACAGAAACTCCCCAATCTCTAAACTGACTAGGTGATGTTTTCACTCCATTACACTCAGAGCAACTTCCTGAAAACTGGGTGTTAAGTTTCAACTGTAGCTTTTCTTATATAATTCCATATTACCATCATTATTTTAGCTGTAATGATTAGGCATGATGAGCAGGTTTTGTGTAAATGCTGTTGATAGTATTCGTGTTGTGCATCTGAACTGAAACACGCAAAGGAATAACAGCATGGCTTGCTTGCTGCTGTATTAGCTCTTATCAAAAGCTTTATTGTCCTCAACTTTCCAGTAAACATTAATATGTTCATAAAAATCTACTTTTGTTTTTCACCTGAAAACATTAAAAGCTAATGATAACAAACACTCAATCTGAGAGGTTGTTTTGTAACAAAATGAGAAGACATGACTGTTTACTTAAAGGCTATATGCTAACTGTTCCTTGAAAGATGGAATGCAAGTTGCTGTCCTTGTGTAAATTAATGTCTTTGCTCAGGGGCACTCATAGTACATGTTACTAGTTGTCTTAAAATTTAACAATTCTTCACCATAAAGCGTGAACATTCTTTTGTAATTAATCATCTTTCCATATTCAAAATGGAAATGTTTTGCCATTGACTCCTTCAGAAATTCTTCAGCTATAAAGTAGCTACTTTATTGTGGGTGTTATTAGTGTTATGTGCTATAAAACATTGTTTGGTCTGTTGTGCAAATGTAGCGCCGAATACAGCTTGGAATATTTGTGCAGTCATTGAAACAGTATTATAGTGTAAATATGGGTGTCAATAGCTGCCTACGTCATTTTTCTAAGCTTAATAAAACTTTATGATTCATTCACATTTCATAATCGATAGTATTGTAGTTTTTTGTTCTTAATTTACTTTTATTCTGCTTGCGCTGTAATTCTAGAGGTGGTCATCCATACCTGACAGGTCTTGCAGTAGCTGGTGGAGCATATTACCTGGGACTGGAAGGAGCCATTATAGGACCCATTCTACTTTGTATACTTGTGGTTGCTTCCAATATATACAGTGCCATGTTGGTGAGTCCAACAAATTCAGTGCCCACTCCGTCACAAGCAGCATGGCCATTACAGATTTACCGGTAAGTTATAAATGTCTTAGATGTATGCATTATGTTTTTACAGGGATCAGTGTATGCCTATACACATAGGTATAGAGAACACGTGCACGAGTTTTATATAGGAGTGTGCATGCACACCTATGTGCCTGCTGAAGTGTTTGGAGAGGATTAAGCTATCCTTTATTCTAGAAATAAAAAATATGGTAAAGTAAAATACTCACTGGAATTTGTAAGCTTGAAATGTTTGTTTAATGCCTCTCAGCTTCTTACAGAAGACTCTTTTAGAAAATTCCCTGATAATACCTTTGTATTGTATAATTTATGTATTGCCATTGTGCTAGATGATTGAACATCCTATTTTCCGTGTAAAACTTACTATTCACGGATACCTAGTAGTCAGCGTTCATTGTTCTTATAAGAAGTCTGCTTTTTATGTGTTAGTGTACAATACCGCAAAATATAAATAAATATACTTCAATTTAAAAAATGAGGTAACTTTATATGTCCTTATTCCATTGAAAGTATGATCTTAATTAGTCTCTTTATTTAAGTTACCGAATGTGGAATATAGAAATGTATCTTTAAACTGTATAGTTAAGGAATGGGATGAATAAACTCCTAATCGAATACTTAATTACCGTTGGAAATCATATCGTGAAGTTATTAATGGCAGTAGCCATTTTAATGTCTCTACTGTCTTGTTCAATTACATAGGTTAGCTCATTATACATATATCTTAGAGGATTCCGTGCTTGTCAGAAATAATCCTTTGCTTCATTCGTGTGGATAATGTCATCTTTCATGTGGGTAACTTAGGAGAAAAAACACTAATTGGACTTGTGTGTAGTCTCTGACTTGCAGAAGTTATGTTCCAAGACTTTCTGTATACGCTGTAGATGGAGCTCCCCACAGTACGCACAAAAATCCGCATGTGTGTTTGTTTCCTGTTTCATTTGCAGTAAACTGGATATTTTTAATCACTGAACAGATTGGAGTCTTACTTTTTTTCTTGCGCCTTTCTGGCCCCAGGTCATCTAGAGAGAGTCCTGAGGAGATGAAAATGGCTGCAGAGTGATGAAGGTGCTGTGCTGCACCTATTCAACATGAGAGAATCGCTGTCTTCTGTCTTGAGTTCACAACAGCCATGGCCTTCTGTCGCTTTCCAGCTGTGCGTAGGGACAGCTCACAGGGAAGCATAGCTTGGGTTTTAGGAGAAACTACTTCTCAAGCGTCTGATGGCCTTACATTATTGTGCACTTTGCCTCTTCAAGAGAGAATGTCTACTTCCCATGACTTTGCGTACTAACACACAATTCAACTGCCTTGAAGACCTTGAAGAGCTTCTGTCTTCATAAAAAAAACGGTTAAGAGATCAGGTATATCCACTGGAGTCATTATCTTATCTGCTGAAATGACGAACTCGGCTTTATTTTATTGGGTTATTTGTGTTATTAAATTGTAGTACCTTTAAAGAAAGCTAATTCCAAAATATTTATTCTCAGTTAATCTCGTGGGGAAAAAAGGTGTAAACCACTCATTGTTAAATGAAAGTAGGATATAATTGTTTGCTGCTCCTCAAAGTATTTCTATAGAGGCTTTGACCATCATCTGTAACTCATAATAATACTTAAATAGTATCCTCTTATACGCACTGAGATTTAATGTTGTTGGAGACTGGTATTTCTAATATTTTTCTGAAATTAGTAGACATACAGATTGTTAAATGTAGGTTTTCCTTGTATTGAGATAGGAGGACTTGTTAAAGTAGTTTAAATCTTGCCCTCATTTGCAGTGAAATCTGATAGTATTTTGCTGTTTACCCTCCATCCCAGTGGAGTCTTGTCAACTATATTTAATCAAAGGCCTTAAGTGTTTTCAGTCGGAGATAATGTATGGTTGTCATGTCTGCTTCCAGTAACAGGAAGAAGTTGAATGGGGATTGCTTAATGTTGGTTTTCAAATGCTGTGGCTGAGTTCAGTTGACTTTTCCAACAAATTGAAGTTTATTTCCAAAGAGGAAGGGGAGAGGGCATGGATTTTGGTTTAGTTTAGTTTGGGTTTTTTTCCCCAAGCTTCTGGCCAAATATCTTAATACGAGGGCATGGATTTTGGTTTAGTTTAGTTTGGTTTTTTTTCCCCCGTAAGCTTCTGGCCAAATATCTTAATATGGTATAAGATATATCTTAATAATAAGCAGAGTTCTTAAATTCTTGAAATGGTGTGTTGCCTAGGTCGCAGTATCAGGCTCCTCTAGTGCTTTTCTTCCATATGTCATTTTGCTTAAATTGCAGTTTTGGTGACATTTAAGGCCTTTTGTATTGATCATTGAAGTATTTTTGACACAATGGATCTTATAAATGGATCCTTTTATAAATAGGAAGTGGTTTTTTGGTAGAAATTTCATACTTTTCCACAAATACAAAGTAGCAGATGCACATGCTTAACCAAAGAACTACCTTTAGTTTCTAGTAACTTCTCTTGAATTTATTTCAGAGTTGGATCGATAATGAGTTATACAAAATACAGGCATGCCTTGCATTTATTGTTGACGTAAAAATCTTTAATGAAACACGTTTTCATAGTTGTTGCTGGCTAAGGTGGAGGATGATAGAGAACCTGAGGCTGTCCCTAAGTATTCCTGCAACATTCTAACCGGCTTGAATGAGACCACCATGATACTTGGGAAACTTCCTTTATTGTCTTAACTTTTTTTAGTTCACAGTTTTGCACTGAAATGTTATGTTCTCATTATGACTTCTTGTAGACACTATTTGAAGAAGATTACTAGCAAGAAATACACATCTTTAATGTATTTCCAGTTTTCCATTGCTCCTCTTTGTTCACTGGTCAAGACATTTCTATTGTCCACATTTGCTATCACAGTTGTTTCTGAGACAATCTTTAAGATTCCTATGGTACTCAACACAGTCATTTTAAAGAGTTGTTATAAATTCATATTAAAGTCATTATATATTCTTTTGTTTGTTTTTAAGTTTCCTCTTCTCTCTCCCTCTCTACCCGACCTCCTTAGATCAAAGAAGGGTCTCTGCCATGAAGATTAAAATGACGTTTCAGACAGTTACCTTCAATAATGGCAGATCAGTAAAATCAGCTCAGAAGATACGTTGCTATTTTGAAATGATTCTTTCCCGATGTGAAGAGAAATCATTTTGTGTAGAGAGTTCATTATCTGATGCAGTCTTGTTAGTTTGCCCTGCTTTTAAGTGAGGCTTCACATTGATGCTTCCTGTTTCAAATTCAGCGAAGACTTGCCATGAGGAACCACCCGTAGTACAGTCTTTCTCAGTACATGTAGCTTAAGGAACTCATCCTATGTGCCACGCCTGACTGAGGAACCAATTATCTGGTACAGTAACAGTGTACTGCCGAAAAGAAAAGAAAAAGAAGAAACAAAACCTCCAAGAATGCCTTCTTAGAATATGAAATGTTCAATGAATTTCTCCGTTTAAAAAAAAACCCAAAACAAACCACAAAACAAAACACCACCTTATGAAAAAGCATACCTTGAGTATTTAGGATTTGTCTTTAGTGTCTAATTACCAGTAGAAATAGAAAACCTTGTCCTTGCATATTTAGCAATCAGTATTCTTTTCTGAAAAGACTCAGCCTCTTTAAGAACAGTTAAGTTTGGATCAATCTCACATTAATATGAAAAGAATGAAACTGGTCTTTTTGACTTCTGGTCATTGTAGCGCACCAGTTCCTGGTTATATTGCCTCATCTGCAAAAGCAAGTAGCAGCTCCATGGGATAAGCTTTTAGATGGCTTGTATGTTTAAGAAAAATAAAAAGAGGAGGAGGAGAGGAAACTCTTCACACCCCCTTTTCTGAAGAGGCATTAAACTACAGCTTTCTTAGGAGAGACCATCTTTTTCGTATTGCTTGTAGGCAAGAAGTTGGTGGTGTTTAGCTTTGCTATAAACAGTCGTTCCAGGAGCAGGTATCTACTCATGTTTAGTACATCTAGTATTCAGCTTGAACAAAACCAATTTAGAATTCAGAAGGGAATGCTTGTAGTAAACCAAGACAACGTGGACTCATGGAATTGTAAAATACAACTGTGCTATTTTTTATCATTCTCTTCTAGCACATCAGGCCTGTTGCAAGTAAGTGTAGTGCCAAAGGGCTAATGGTAACTGGTTTTGGCACTAAGTTAGCCCTTCTTCCCTTTCCTGTACCTTAGCTGAACATTTCTGTGCTGTAGCAGAGCCAGCAGAAGTGAATGTGTGCCAGTTTACAGCCCAGCACGTTAACTTCAGGTCACTCTAAATACTGGCTTAATTGAATACATGAAGAAACAAACTGCAGTGGGCAAGAATCTGGCACACACTCATTTTTCCAGCCTTACTACAATATGATGACTTTCAGCACAGATGCACCATGACCAGCTGGGAGCAGTAATGACTTATTTTGAAAGACTGCTTTTTTTTTTTTTTAAAAAAAAAAAAGTTTAACATTATAGTCATACGTACAATGTACGTTTTTCAGAAACTAAGTTGATACTCACATATCTAATAATGGAGACAGCAGTCAGATATTTCTGTGTGAGATAGTATCTATTTGCCGCTCATCTAGGGTACGTTTAGGCTTGTCTGATTTCAAGGACTATGTGGCTTCTTTTCAAGACTTCATGGAGGAGGATATACTTACGTGTATTTTGTCAGTGATTGTTGGATTAGAAAATCCATAATCTGTTTAATTAAATAAAATACAAAAACGATTGTGTGGGAAAATTGAATGCTGTCTCCAGTATTATACGCTGTGGGTACCAGTGTAACTTCTGAAATAGGTGTATGGCTGCAATGTTAAACATTGTTTTCAGAAAGCCTGAAAATACAAAACTGGATAAAATTGTTCCCCAGTAAAGGCAGCAGTAGAATTGCTATGCTGCTGATCCCTAGTACTGGTGACAGAATACTGCAAGAGTGCTGCCTTTCCTATGGACCTCATACACTGAGGAGGGGAAAATACCATTATTCTACTGAGACTCTATGACTTTCCATCAGTGGTAGAAGATGCTCCCACAATCGCCTCTGTTCAAACATAATGTTCATATTATATTGGCTGAAGTTTGCCACTGCAGATAGTGCCACCTGTATGGATACTACCTCTGGAAACAGCTACAACTTTCTTCAGAAGATGCTGAAAGCTGTCGGGATCGGAGTTCATATTCATGTTCATTTAATAATGGAGGTAGCATTCTTCTTCTAGAGATGCCATTGTTTGCCTTGGCATTTGCAATTTTACAAGAGAAAATTAATTTCCCAATTAAATAATCTTTTATTGAGTGACAGCTGGCATGTCTTAAATTCGTGGATGCATCATCTTTGTAAACTCTTGGCTTGCTTTTCAAAGGGTTTCTTATTATTTCTTACATTTTTTGGTGAGGCATACTTTGAGCATTCTTGTTTCTATTTCTACAAAACTAGAATTGCCTAAAACACTTAACAAACCTTAGGGAGGCTTGATCTTTAACCTTATACTGTGTATCTGTCACTTTTAGTGAAATACCTTAATGCTTTATAGTAAAATTCTCCAAAATTGCTTTTAAGTGATAAAATTGAAAATGTTTTTTAAAAAAACAAATTAAAAATTGCAATGTGGAAAATGAACTTGGAATGTTGAAACCAGAAACAATCCCAGAAGTGATGACCATGTTCAGGGATTCTACATTGGGTTTGTAAACGTCTATATTGATATGCAGCATTTTATAAATATGAACAGTGTCTGTCCTATTCAGACTTTAACTGAAATTTTGTCCTATTTTTTTTTTAAGATATCTGAGAACAAAACAGTGCCTGTATATAGTGAAAACAAGCAACATTTTCTAGAATTAATGTTTACTTGATAAAAGTTGAGGAAGAGCCAAGCAAATACTGGTAGGGTGACTAGAACCGTTCTGTTGTAGTTAATACAAAGTTGGGAACAGCCGTTCTTCTATCTAGTAATCCAGTGCAAAGAGGTTATTGTTTCTGGAAGTATTTGCACGCATCTACTAAAGAGCTGCCAAAATTAATAGGTCATGAAATATGTCTTCAGATCCCAATCTCTTAGCCTTTCCACACCTCATCTGGTACCTTGGTTTGAAGCTGGTTTAGTACGTAAGAGTATCGCTTCACGCTCTTTTGGGATCGATTCCAGGACCTGAAAGGTTTGGAACGTCCATACTGAAATAGTATGTCCCATTCAGGAAGGAATTGCTAATTGGTGAGTAAATGCATCCTGGATGTGCTCTGCATATGGATGGACTTGGACAAACATACTTCATGTTCCACTGAATTAGATTATTATTTGAATATAGCACTGTGTAGTGATGCCAAGGCCAGGTTTGAGTTAGAAGCAGGCCATACTTGCAGCAGGATGCATTGCAAGCTGATAAAGGCAGGGAGTGTGCTCTAGCTTCCATGTGTATATCTGAAGAATTTTCAGCATGATGGTTTTAAAGCAAAAATGTTGGTTTCTTTTCCTAGCCT